GATTCGAGATCTTGCTTAAAGTTATTTATTTATTAAAAATTATAAATCATCTTTCAATATCTTTTTGATCTACAGGATTACCACCAATTGGAGATTCTAGGTTGCTGTTTAGTTTGACTACACCTAAACATCACTACTTTAGTACTTAGAATAAATACGGAAGTGACAAGTTCAAAATGTTCTACATGATGTTACTCTAATAATCATATTCATGATATTGGATCTAATTCTGAATCTGATTATAAAGGTATAACAGGTTTTTATTTCTTACGTTAAAACGATACAAATGGAGGGGGGGGGGCGTATTGTTATATAATGTCCAATCTGTTTACCTGGCTGGAGAGAGTGCTCGATGTCCGAAAACTCCGTGGAATGGATCCACCAGCATCCTACATAGGATTTCATCACAGGATCGCGAGGCTTGATAAATCCGTTCAGACAAACGTGCCATAATCCAACTGTCCCAAACGGGCTGAAAACACGGGTCCATGATTTGTACCAGTAAGGCGAGGCGAAGCCAACGAACATTGTGATGAACGCGGCGATCGCTGTGATGAAGGCAATCTTAAACAGCTTTTCTGTCGCCATTTTGTTTACCTGAATGAGACTTTTGGAACTACAATGGCTTCCTAGGTAAAAGTCAAGGTAAGAGTACTTAGTAATTTAAATTAAATCTGGCAATTATATTTATAACCTAAACTATTATTTTTGATTTTATAAAAACTACATTGAATTTTTCCTTATCTTTTTGTTCTTCTTTCATTAATTAAATAAATAGAGAATGAACAAAAAGACAGGCAAAGCTGACACCCCTAAAATTTTGTCACCAATGTGTAATAGATTCGCCTTATAACGCTCTCTTATTTTCGCTTCCGTCTTTTGGCTCAGGTGAAAAAAAATAAAGCTACCAAATTGGCATTCTCTGAGCTAAAATATATTTTTGAAAATTGAATTCTTTACTGCTTTATTAATTAAGAAAAATCAAATCACAAATAATATTCTAAATATGTAATATAATAATGCAAACTAACTTAATATCTATTTGCATTCTAAGCATTATAGATCTAGATATTTAACCTTAAAATGTTTAGTTAAGGTAAATAGAATTTGATCTCTGTTCCTGGCAAAACAAGGAAATAGTGTCACAGCACAGGTAAACTTCCAAAATGGCTCTTAAGAGGGCCAAACGCTTCATCGCCAATTTTGGATTGGCGTTTACAATATGCGCCTTCCTCTGTCTTATTGTTGCCTTTGCTACGCCGCACTGGCTAGAGAGGTTCCCTCATAAAAGAATGTCCAAGGTTTTCGTTCGAATGGGTCTCTGGGAAGCCTGCTTCAACGATTGGACATATTACAAGGATTACCTTAGCAAGCATTACAATGGCTGTTGGTGGATCTTTCACTTTGAATACAAGCCTGTTTGGGGATGGCTGAATCCTCGTAAGTTCTTTTCTAATAGTATACCATTTGATATAGTTTACTTGGTTGTAGGGGCACATATTTTCTGAACAAGTGATAACTCGTGTTTTTATATTTGGCCCAAAATGCTTTGGTAACTCTGTTTCAACGTTATTAATTAAATTTAATTAATATATCTAGTTAGATTATATAAAAGTAGTCTATCTGATAGAGATATTGATTCTTTCACCCACATATTAAACTTAAGTTAATGTCACAGACATAAAATCTTTTTCGTTCTTATTGTTATGTTGGAGCGTTCAGATGACTAGACCAATACATGAGATGAACTGCGCAGTGGTTTCCAAATCAGGGAGCTCTCCATATAGTTTTCTTTCTATTTGGGGTGTTTTGGGTCCAGTGTCTTATATGGGCCTCTTCGTAAAGAGAGCAGTTTTGGAGGACATGGTCAGCATTCTCTGGTGATACTCCACATGGGCAGATTTCGAAAGATAAGACGTTGATCTTGTCAGGATAGCTTATTGTAAGCGTCATCTTTCTTGTGATTTGGATGAGAGCTCGTCCATTTCTCATTTATTTTATTTACAATTAATTTCTTCAATTCTTCTGGATAGAGTGCAGAGTTTATTTGTGAGTTAGTTCTCCCACTCTTGGCGAGTGTGTCAGCCTTCTCATTTCCTTCTAGTTCTATATGAGCTGTTCTCCATTGAATAACAGTTTTTTTGCTGTTGTTGTTGAGCTTTGCAAGTGCTGTTCTGAGTTTTTTGTTTTTGCATCTGTTAGAAAGACAATCTGACTTTGTGGGGAGCTTTGATGATTTGCTAGCATGGTAGCAGCTAGTGCTAGTGCTTCCCTTTCTGCTCTGTGGCTGTCAGAGAGATCTCCAGTTGAATGGATTTTTCTAGTTTTTCTCCATCTGGCCATTCGATGAGTATTCCAGCTCATCAATTTGTTGTGGCTTTATGGGATGAGCCATCCGTGTAAACTCTGAACCACTGATTGCTAGGATAATTGGTTTGTAGAAAACAGTTCCTTGAGCTCTGTTGGTCTGTAGTTTTCAATATGGTCCCTTATAGTAGGAAGAGGGCTTTCGTCCCAGGGTGGAGATTTATTATGGTGTATCGAGGATTCCAGTTATTTTTTCTCAAGACATAAAATAAAGGTGAATATAAATGTTTTTGTCAAGATAGCACATCTCTTGAAACAGCCTTTAAGGCATATCTTTTTTTTTTTTAAATCCTCTTTTAAAAGCCTATGAGGCCAATGAAACATATAGTTTAGTTACATTGAAAATGTTTAAGTTTTTGCCTGATAGATAGTCCACTTTTACTACAGTATTGATGACAGATATACAGGTGTGTGCATAATGTCTGACCTTTGTGACCTGTGGGGGAGACCATTTATGACAGACTGACTGGCTTTACTAATAGTGTTGTTAATAGTATGATTTGTTTGAGCATCAAAGTCAATTAGTGTTAGTTGATTAACAAAAAGTTTCTTCGTTTGAGTTTCTGTGTGGTGAGTTGGTGACAGAACGTAAACACCATGAAAACAAGATTACAAAGACAGTTTGTGTGGTCCACCCAGGCAGGCTTCAATATTTTCAGAAAGAACATCCAAATGAAATTATATAAAAGACAAATGAGAGATAAGAATGGAGAAAGAAGGTTGACAGATCTTGTGTAGTGCCCCAACAGTACAGCAGATCAAAGGATAGGTGCAAGTGAATGCAAAGTTAGTTGTGAACCTGGCCTAACTAGTTCCCCTTTCAGACCTTGTGGTCTATAGGGCAGATGATGTAAAGTTCATCTGTTTTTTTGTGGCCTACAGTTAACGAGGGTGTCATGTAGCCAGCACAATGACCTACTGCCTTTACTTTTCCCCAACTAATATCAGGTAACCATTGGAGAATTGTTTTGAAAAGGCTCTATCTCTTATTCGAATACTCTTTAATAAAAAAGTTCATGAAAATGAAGTTTACAAGATTACTATTCGTTTTAATTTAGGTCTACTTTATAATGCATACTAATTAGCTTTTTCTCTTTAAAAAACTGCTTGCATGACTGATTTTAAAAATTAGATTTTTCGCTTTCAGGAAAAAAAAGTAGCCGTTGCATCAGAACTTTGAATGGTCTAAAATATTGTGATGTCGGATTTTCAATATCTTTTGTTGTTTACGAGATCTAAACGGAACAGACATTTTGCACAAAACTAATAGCCCCTTTCGGGGGCTGCTAAAAATTACTATTACAATCTAGATATCAAAAGGAAACCAGTAATTTAAGTTTGAAAGGTGACACAATAGGTTAGCTTCATTCAATTTGTTCCTTGCCTGAGCTGTCTTTACCATTTTTTATTTTCTCTTAGAGTACTGAGAAGACTTGTTTATTTTGGTTAAGCAACAATCAAGTCTGTATATAATTATGAAATATAGTTTTTCAATCTTCATTTTTAGTTTTTTTCAAGTTAAGCTAGATAGATTTTAAATTTTGTTATTTAAAAGTCTGATTCATTGATTTTTTTCATATTGTCAATGCAGCCTGGTTCCTGGCTATTCAGATCATGATAACACTGGGACTAATACTTCAATTTGTAACTGTCATAATGAACATCATGTACTATGTCCGTTGTCTCCCAAGAGAGAAAGAAAGGAAGCATGTCTTGTCTACATCAGTTATGATGTGGATAGCTTGTAAGTATTCCTCTAATTCGTTAATTGTAGCTCTTCTTCTACCCAAAACTAATTTAAGAAACTAAAGGCTGATGTTACATGTCATGTTTCTTCATGAAGACATGTGCCTTTTTTTTTTTTTTTTTTTTTTGTCTTTACCTAAATCTTCTTTAAAACAATAGATTTTAAAGTACATTTGAAATTATTGTGTTGATATCCATTTAGCTTCCAGGACCATTCAAGCACCTTATATTTTATTTTCAGTCTTCCTCATTGCTACATCTGTCACAATATTTGGTATCAAGGCTGATATAGATCGTCAGTGGTTGCCTAACCCAGACTCCAATTTCCTGTCTTGGTCTTTTGGTTTTGCTGCTCTATCTGGTTTCTTCTCAATCTTCGCTGCAATGTGCCTGTCAACAGATTATGTGCGTATCCGAGAAGAGGAAGAAAAGGCCACTCAGGGACCAGCTTATGCAGTCAAAGCTACACCACGATTTTAGAGTGATTGGTTGTGAAGTTATTAATATAATATATATGTAAATAGCTAGTTTAGAATACTTTTTTTGTTTGATTGAGTGCATAAATGTGACATTATTTGTCAAATGAATGCTTGGTCTTTGATGCATATACACAAGATTAAAGAATGGCTGTTTTGTAGAGTGATTTTGTTCAGTCCTTTTTTTGTGGTGTATAAAAATGATCTTACATAGCATGTTGGTTACTTTTTGTTATGAATGTAGTCATAACATTATATTCATGTATATAGTTATTGTTACATATCAGTTTTCCATTGTGACACTTCTCATGTATAAATAGCTTCTCATAATTATTATGTTAAAAAAAAAAAGATGTAGTAAGGGAGGGGGTTAACACTAATTCTAGTTTGATACCAGGGTTTTAGTTGAAGTGGGGGGGGGGGGGTGTGCACAGACCTGCCACATATCATCAGTTTAATGTTACCACTAGATTTGTACATACTTTTTTCATTACCTTACTAAAAACTTTTTTTCCCCTATAACATATAGTTACAAATGTGTACAGTACACATTTCATTCAAATGAATGAAGTTATGAAACAGTAACAAATAAACATTCCAATGTTTTGCAAGCTTCTGTAAAGCTCGGAAGTAGCAAATGTTTATATATCAGATCTAAAAAAATGATTTTTTTTTTTTAGTGCTTTTTAAAAATTTTATTTCACACATTATAGACGATCTAATGTATTTTATTAAATTAATGAAAATAAAACGCTTTATTATAATAAAGATTTTTCAACTTTGTTCCAACATACAAATGGCATTAAAGGGAAACTCCGATAGTTATTGACTTATTTAAATTCTGCATAAAAAGTTGTAATAGTAAACATTATATCATTTTTTATTTAAATGCTCAAAAAATGTTATATTTAATAAATTAGACAGAAAATTCTTCACGTCCCAAAAAAACGGGGTTCTGCGAGATGTTTTTAGTTATTAAAAACGTGACGTCACAAGGGTGCTGGCTAAATTTAGATCTAGACCTATCAGATCGCATTTATTGTTACGCTTCACAGCTAGATGTAGTCTCCACATTGATTTATAATCAGTCTTTGTTTATAATATTCTGGATCTAAACCTCTATTTCTACTTGATGAAAATGAAATACTATTCTTCAGCAAGTATGCTGACAGAGAAATTAGTGTCTCTTTTCATTTGTTTCCAAGAGATGAAGTTTTAAAGGGAAAAATTTATTCGTCTGAAGAGCAAATATTTTACAAAGGCATTAGCTAATTCCTATTTATGCTCAAACCATTTTGAGAGAAGCTGTTTCAGCAACTTCATTGCTGTGGAAATGGGATTTGAAAAAAAAAAATGAAGCTAATACCAGGTGCAGTACCAACAATACATTGGATTTCCAGGCCAAAGAATTCAGATATAGGATTTGAGTGCACCCTCATGACGTCACACAGAAATTCAGTGAAAATCTGACCGTTTTGGATACGCAGAAAAATTATGTCACAAAAACATCAATTACTAAGTTATTCTTGCAAATAAAAAAAAAAGAATAATATATTCATTATCTATAAATCAAAAAACATATATCAAAAATTGTCCAAATCATCAGAGTTTTCCTTTAACACAAAAAAAAAAAAAAAAAAGGAAAACGTTAATAAAAATACAACCTTTTTTTTTTTTTCATGTCTGAAAATACGGCTCAATATGGACATGGTAATTTTTCAACTTGTGTATTGAAGCTCAATTCCACTATAAAATATATTCCAGATCATTACAGCTTTTATTGTGATTTTATTGATGTAAGCAAAAATAGTGTTATAACCTTGCCATGCACACCGCCATCAAAGATAGTGCAGAAGGTGTGCACTATTAGAGACAAGGCAGATGCTGTTTCATGTGTGATGTCCATAAACATTGTTGTCTTGTTGAGTTGCCTCCCTTGGGTTATTACTATAGTTTACAGGAAAAAAAAATGTTCTTTCTTTTACTTGCTATTATAATCTTATGTTTAAAATGTGAAACAGCATTGATGATTATTTAAGTAAATAGAAAAGGTATCTTTCTGAAAGTGTCAATATAAATTAAATGAAGTGGGAGAAAATTGTTTCATATCAAATATAAAACATTACCTGAAAATAATCAGATTATGTTTCATTAATTCTTTCTGCCAAAAATACAAAACAAACTAAATTTAGAAGCCAAATAACATTTCTTCTATTTTTTTTAGGATATGTTTCTAAATTTTTTACTATCATATCCCAAATATCATAATTTGTATATTTTTATTGGTCCAAACAAATGGGAATTCAGTTTGACTACAAGTGCCTATCTCAGCATTACTACTTGATCACATTTCGGATGTAAATACACACACAGCGCTTGATGAATTAGGTTCATATGTACTTCTTAGTGACGATGAATGACATGAAAACACTTGAAAGTGGAATATGGGAGGTTTTAATCTTTCTGTTTTAGCTTTAACAGAGAGGAGTCAACCTCTTCGCCCAGCTCTATGTATGTACATATGGGTGCAAATTGCCTTTAAGGATTTTTGTTTTCTCTAGGCATCTATAATGAAATAGTTTTCTTCAGGATATGGTAGCTCACTTAGCTGTGTTTGAGTGATATAAGATCCTTTTTTTAAATTAGTCTATTACACCTATGTCTTTGTGCCATTGAATTATTATCATACCAGCTTGTGTTGGTAAATTGTATGTATGTTGTATGTAATTTCTGATGGTTGTATAGTAGCTATATAAAAAGTTGTCAATTTAACATTTCACTAGTTTCCTAAGACAGAAAAGTTTTGGATGCAATATTTACAATAAAATATCATTAGTAATGTTCTTTTGGGTCACTGCAACTCACAGGTTAACAAAGCTGATTTAGAAACTTAGAAATAGTTTATCAATGTCATTTCCCATTATTGGTTTTATAATTAAGACTACAAAGACCAGTACATTAACTTAAAATATTGTTTAATGTTTCATTTAGCAAAGTCAATATAGATGTTTGTTATAGTTTGCTAAGTTAAATTTATACAACAAAGAAGTTAATGCGATCAACAAAAAAAAAAGAGCCTGAAATTGTTAAGTGGGCATACTTTCAAGGAGTATTGAGTCAAATTTTATAAGAATATACAATGATATAAAAGTAATGACTAATTCACGCATTTAAAAAATGCATCTTATCCACAACAAAACAGCATTCAAAAACTAATTGTAAAAAAAAAAAAATGTGCTACTCAATTTTAAAAAAATGATACATTCTTTTGCAAAAATCAATAACAATGGTAAGAAGAATTTTTTTTTTTACTTATTGCAAATTAATAAGCCAAAAGAACATCGCTTGGGAGGTGAATGTTGACTAGACACTTCACAAGATATCCACCCATGTAAAATTGAATAATACTAAATAGGGCGTAAATATTTCTATTTCTAAATAAATCTGTATATGAAATAAAGAAATATACTTAAGTCTCCATTTGAACAAAGAAAAGCTAATAAATCTAAAATATAAATTAAGCATCAACATTACTCATATTTAAATCTGTTTCATGTGGACTTAGTGACAATAATGTTATGAAGTTTAGGGCTTATTAAGAACTGCTAGCTGCATAAAGTCCTCATACGACATACGCACAACTCCAGTCATGGTGGTGTCCCGTTGTCTGAAGGCATCAGTCAGAGACTTCAGCATCACACAGGATTGGATGAAATTGTCTAAAGTCAATGCCCGCCGTCCATAGTGGTCAAACTTAATCACAATAGTCTGAATGAATTGTGGAGATACATTGTAGCCCATACGCTGGTAAGCTGAAAAAAGAACAACAAATATTTACTACAAGAAATAGCCAAATTTAAAAAAAAGATGATAAAGGTTAGAGTGTACAGACATTTTTTAAATATTTCATTCATATAGAGCTGTTAACAAACATCAAATATAGTGCTGTGTATTTATGTTTCTTGTGTGTTGTGAACTGATCTGTTCTAGTGTGTCAAAATGTCTTGGTGTCCAGGTCAGCTTGTGTGTGTGAACTGTTTTGTCATTCTTGTTCAATAAAGCCGAGGATCAAGACGTCTTCTAGTTGTGTTTCATTAGGTTATTTTCGGGACGCCTTCTTATTTACATTCTGACCGGTGATCAGCCTTCATGTCTGAAGAGCTATGATCTTTCCTCAGAGGCAAAGGCATAGTGACAAGTAGAACCACAATATATAATGCCAAAGGGAATGGGCAAGTAGAAAAACTGAACTCGACTCTCTGGAAATCAATTTTTCTTGTCGTCAGGTCAAGAGGGCTACATAATACACAATGGAAGCTAGCCCTAAATGACACTCTCCATTCAATTAAATCTCTACTATGCACTGCTTCAAACATGATGCCACATGAAAGACTATTTTCCTACAAAAGTTTGTGGTGTCTCTCTACCAACCTGGCTTTATGTTCCAGGGCCTGTCCTGATGAGAAGGCACAAGAGGCCAAGCAAATATGATTCACTGGTAGATGAAGTGGAGCTTATTGAAGCAAATCAGAACTCTGCCCACATGTGTCTTCTAAATGGACAGGAAGAAACTGTCTCACTGCACCATTTTGCTCAGAGAGGTGACTCATCTTCACAGAGTCCATATTACATGACTTCGCTCCAAGAGACATTGAGACATCTTCTGAGGTCTCTCAACATCAACTGGCTCCTGGTAACCCTGAGACTTTGCCGATGTCTCCCAATACTCAATTGCTTCTAGGGGTGACAGAGACATCTGCAGAAAACATGGTTCCACCTGCTTTAAGAGCAGAGGAAAACACCATTGAAAATAAACTAAAATCACTTACCAGAGATACACCCGTACAGCACTCGTATAATATCAAGTAGAGCGAAAAAGAAACTAAATGGGGGGGGGGGGGGAAAGGAATGTTGTGTATTTATGTTTCTTGTTGTGATCTGTTCTAGTGTGTCAAAATGTCTTGGTGTCCAGGTCAGCTTGTGTGTGTGTGTACTGTGTTATTGTGAACTGTTTAGTCATTCTGGTTCAATAAAGCCTAGGATCAAGACATGTCTTCTAGTTGTGTTTCATTAGGTTACTACATTTAGTAAAGTTGCTTTGTAAAAAAAGAAAAAGCAGGACTAATATTATTTACATTCAAGGGCTATTCATACATTTGACACAAAATGAAAATGCATAAAATAATTACCAAGTAATCTAAGTAAATTCTAGGACAGTTGTTAATTTTCTACTTAAAAATTTTGATCCGATAATACTAGACATATTTATCCCATTACCAGAGTTGACAAAAAATAACAGGTGTACAACTACTTGTGTACTGGTAAGTAAAAATGCAATAAAAATCAAAAAGTGATATTTGTTGTCCCTATTTATCTGTCAATATGTATTAGTTCCCTGAGAGAAAAGATCAACACTAAAAGCTGGCATAGAATCTTAAAAGAAAAAAAGGTAACAAATGATATCAATCTTTTTAAGACCTTAGCAAATCAATTCATTAAAAAGGGAAAGCTGAGATTAAAATAAAAAGAAGAAGATGGTTGAACCTGCTAATTACCTTGATGGAGTTCATGAGATTCTATCGAGCCTGATTTATTGCTATCAAAGCTGTCAAAAGTTGCCCGCCATTGCTGGATATAGTGCCAAAGAGCCTGGAACTCATATAGATCTATAGTACCACTGAAATCCTTGTCAAACATGCCTGCAAATGACAAACAGCAGTCTCAAGTAAACATACAAGCCATTGTGTTCAATGTATTAAATTAATGCA